ATCTCAGTCGCTCGGCGGCCCTAGGCTAGACCAATAAGAGGCGAAAGACATTCTAAATAATATATAAATTTTAATAAATTGCAGTGATAGATAGTATACCTCTCCCACATTCCAAAATAGTATAAATCATGTTGCAATAGTATGAATCATGTTAAGACGCAACAGTTTACAAGATATTTAATTGTTTATGATTTTTTATGCACGTTATATGCCCCTCTTTACAAACTTGAGTAGCAAGAATCGTTCGGTAGAAGTAGAATTTTACGGGAAAAAAATTATAAATCAGCATTTTTTTCATTAAAATCTCAAAAGAAATCAAAAAAGAAATGCATATATTTGAAACTCGAAACTTGTGAAGAAAATATGCGGAAAAAAATCGAACGCTTGCAAAAAGCACGTTTCTCGCTTATAAAAGAAAGATATTGATTGTATCAAAAAAGTTCGGTATGAAAAATATAGATACTCGAAATACCTACAAAATGAAACGTGGAACGATCTATTAAGTTAAGTAGAAAAAAAAATAAAACACCGAAAGACTTTTTTCACTCGGTCTTTATTCATTGAAATTTAACCGCAAAGTTTTGAAATTCTATAAAATGTAACCCTCATAATGACGAACAAATCTAGTTCTGAACAAGCCTAAAATGTTCATTAGTTTTTGCAAAAAGTCATTTGTTCACAAAAAACCTGTCTACAAAAAACTTAATTTCTTCATTTTTGAACAGTCGCACAGCAGTTTACAGGGGTGATTTTTTTTTTCTTCAAGAGTTGCACTATCACGTACACTATCACGTACGTAACAAAATTTTTTGCAGTTAAATTATTATAAAACGATTTTAAAAAGTGAGTATCTTTTTACATATAAAAAAATGAAATAATTTTGTTAATATGCATCATATCAAATAGTCGTGTGAAGTATTCGACAGCTGACATTTTTCTACGAATTTAAAAAAAAAGATTACCTTTACCGATTATTAGGAACCCAGATAACAATTTTTTTTCAAAAAATTACTGTGGTTTTAATTTTTAAAATTAAGAGTTTCGTCTGGCACCAATTTGTCTAAGAAGAATTGAATTTGCTGTTAAAAAATTCTCAAAATTTGCTGCCAAAAAAGTTTGTTTAAAACCATTGGAAAGTTGACGCGAGCGAAGCAGCGCACCGGGCGGAGTGGAGGAAGCCGGTACGCAGTCGAGTGGGGAAGATACGCACGAGTCACCGAGCGGCCCGATCTTCTCCACTCCATCCGGCGCGCTACCACCCTCGCGTTCCTCAACTTTCCAATGATTTTAAACAAACTTTTTCGAAAAATTTGAGAATTTTTTAACAGCAAATTCAATTTTTCCTTGATAAATTGGTGTCAAACGGAACTCTTAATCTTAAAAATTAGAGCCACAATAATTTTTTGAAAAAAAATTGTTATCTCGGCTCCTAATAATCAGAGAATAATCTTTTTTTTTAAATTTGTAGAAAAATGCCAGCTGTCGAATGCTTCACACGACTATTTGATATAATGCATATTAACGGAATTATTCCATTTTTTTATACAAAAAAAGATACCCTCTTTTTAAAGTCGTTTTATAGTTTAACTGCAAAAAATCGTTTTAATACTAAATGTACATCATAATGCAACTCTTGAAGAAGAAAAGTCATCCCTGTAAATTGCTGTGCGACTGTTCAAAGATGAAGAAATTAAGTTTTTCGCAGACAAATTTTTAGTGAATAAATAGTTTTTTGCAAAAATTAATTTCAGGCTTGTTCAGGGTTAGATTTGTTTATCATTACGAAGGCTACATTTTATAGAATTTCAAAGCTTTGCGATTAAATTTCAATGAACAAAGACTGAGTGAAAAAAGTCTTTCGGTGTTTTTTCTACTTAACTAATAGATCGATTTTAATGTTCCACGTCTCATTTTGTATGTATTTCGAATACTTACATTTTCCATACCGAAAATGTAAGTATTATGTAAATGTAAATCTAAGTACATTTTTTTCATACAATCAATATTTCGTTTTATAAGCGAAAAACGTGCTTTTTGCAACGATTTTTTTTCGCATATTTTCTTTACGAGTCTCGCGTCTCAAACATACGCATTTCTTTTCTAATGTTCTTTCGAGATTTTCGTGAAGAGAAATGCTGCTTTATAATTTTTTTCCGATAAAATTCTACTTCTACTGAACTATTCTTGCTACTCGAGTTTATAAAGGAGGGGTATACTATATAACATGCATGAAAAATCGTAAACAATTAAATATCTCATAAACTGTTGCGTTTTAACATTATTTATACTATTCTAATGGGAGGAGTATACTATTACTACAATTTATAAAACTTATGTGTTATTTAGAATCCCGCTCGCCCCTTATTGATGCCTAGGGTCGCTGAGCGATCGAAAAAAGCATTTTCGGTCGCTTGAAACAAGCGACTAATGTGAGAAGGAGCTCGCTGTCTCGTTCACTCTTGGCGCGCCGCAGGCGAACACACGGACATGGAGTACTTAAGTGTGTGGCTACTGGTTTTGTCAGACCGCCGTGTGATTGTGTGTCGCCACTGTCAACGCAGAGTTCTTGGCTGAATAGTCAGGAGCCTTAAGCCATGTTTTTGTCTCTTAATGTGAACTATTTCAGAAATTAAACGTTTATTATAGGATTATAGGACTATCTAGAATTCTAACATTATTCTAATCGAAATTATGGTTACATATAGTTCTGTGATCTATAATAACTAAAGGAGATTCCGATTTTTTCCTTATGTCTGACATATATTCTTGTCTCCTTTTTGTCTGGCCGACGTAACTAGCTTCGCAATTCTCACAGAGTATTTTATAAACAACATCCTGGTGGGAGAGATTCCAGCTGGTTTTTTCCTCTTTTAATGTAATTTTTCAAAATATTCAGAATTAAATAACATAACTTGCAACCAAGTTTGAAAGCTATGGGTAATAAACTTTCAGAGACACGTTTAACATAAGGTAAAGTATTTTTGCATGGCCTTGATTTTTTTATTTAAATTAATGTCTATATTATTATTATTATTGTAAATGTGAAAATTTAATCTTTTTTGTATCGTCGAAAAAATAAAATTCAAAGAGTATCCGTTATCTAAAAAAATATTAATAGCTTCAGTCAAATTCTTATACTGAAATCATGAATGGAACAGTATAATTCTATCAACAGCACCAATTATAACACCCTTTTTGTGACAAGTCAGATGAGAATAAAAATTGAGGAATCTTCCCAAGAAAATTGGTTTATGATATTTATCAAAAATAATTTTATTTTCATCAAAACTATATATATTTATGATATTTATCAAAAATAATTGTTTTCACTGAAGTCTAGTGTATAATGAATTGAACGGTCTGTTTATCGTTAACTACATATATTCAACGATTTGTATTCAGCGATATTTTACGAAATTGAATACTTGGCGTAAATCGCAATGCATCACTAAAAATGATGGAGGAGGCTTTAAATATCAGTAGAGAAACGATTCGAACCATATTACATGAAGATTTGGGTAAAACGAAGGTTTGTGCGAAGTTTGTTCCATATACATTAAGAAGCGATCAAAAATCAGCGAGAATCAATTATTCCAGAGACATCGTTGCAGCCGCAGAAAATAATCCAAACTTCCTAAAATCAATTGTTACGGATGATGAAACATGGTGCTTTCAATATGATCCAGAAACTAAGCGTCGCCAAAGTGCGGAACGGAAGTCAAAAAATTCACCACAAACAAAAAAAGTACGAAAAAAAAAGTTCCATCAAAAATCAAGACAATGCTCATCACATTCTTTGATAGCAAAGGTATTATCCACAAAGAGTTTGTTCCAACTGGCCAAACAATTACTGGTGCATATTATCTCGAAGTTTTAAAGCGATTGATGGGTAGATTCATCGTATTCGCCCCGAATATCGTGATCCAGAAAATTGGTCTTTGTTGCATGATAATGCACCGAGTCACACACACTTCATTGATTGTCCGTCAATGTTTGGCTCGAAATCGTGTCTCTGTGTTAAACTATCCACCGTATTCACCTGATTTGGCCCCCTGCGACTTCTCATTATTCCCAAAATTGAAATTGAAATTGAAAGGACGCTTTTTTTATGACATTCCGACCATCCAATCAGCTTCTACACAGGCACTAGAGGCAATTCCGTAAACTGAGCTAGAACATGCATTTGAATCACTATTAAATTGCTGTAACAGGTGTATTGAAGCCAGAGGAGAATATTTTGAATAATAATACCAAAAAATATGCATATTGTTGTTTCAATTATGATTTTCAGGCCTTGTCCGGGAACATATTTGTCGCACTGTGTATTTCTTACATATTCTAATTTATTGCGAAAAAAAATTTTATAACTAACTTTTTGTTATTACATTGAAAAGGACCCGATCGGAGTCATACAAAATGTCTGTTATTGTTTGTATGATTTAACGATCTAAATTAAAAGTATTCGTTCTAGACTCGTAGTCTTCTTTTATATTCCTATTATTCCTTTTATTTTTATTGAGCCTTTTGACATTTTATTTAATTTTATATAAAATATGTATAAAATATTTATGTAATCTTCAAAAAATGAATAGTAATAAATATGTACTATCATAAATATCCTATATTATGTAGGATATGTATACATACATTATATATGTTGAATATTTATATTAGTGTATTCCGCTCACGAGCTGTAATTAATTCTCTAATACGTTGTCTAATAAATATTAAATAAGAGCAAATAATGCTTGCAAATGCTATAAATGCAACGGAATGCACTCTACAGAGAGAGAGAGAGAGAGAGGAGAGAATTTAATTACCATCAATGAAAAGATGATCCCACAAATCATCTTTTGATTACACGGTTAAATTTACACTTCATGATTATCTCTTTTCTAATTCTTATCTAATTTCTTCATTAAGATAATCTCACAAAAGATGATTGCGATTCGAGATGTATATTTCATTTATTCATTTCAATATTCTTGTTTTTATTACAGTATCACTATGTCGCGCAGTATGTTGAAAGATTCGCCAAATGCGGCGTTAGATAAATCTCTATTGCAAAAATATCTTGATCTACCTCAACCGGAAAATGCGATCCAGGCAAAATATATCTGGATCGACGGTACTGGCGAAGGATTACGTAGCAAGACCAGGACCCTGAACGTTGTGCCGAAACATCCATCCGGTAAGTGCACAACGTGTATTAATAATCTGATGATTTAATTTTATCTATATCGCATTCGAATTAATATTACTCTAAATATCTAGCTATTTTTGTAATGTCTTTATTGCAATTATATTTCGAAGTAATTGGGTTAAGCACATTTTGAATATTTAATATCTTGATATTTATTATAAAAATAGAAATATAAGGTTCTTCAAATAAATTAACAACAAAAATATTGATGTAATAAGGAAATACCAATGTGAGTCGACATCGCTTGATATTCCTATTAATTATATGATCGAATGCCTGCACGTTCGAATTATGACGTTTAGTAGCTCACGACGATGTACGCGGTGCGAAGCGCTTGCCAGGCCTTCCCCGCGCTAAGATATCCATGACAGATATTTGGCGCTTAAGAATTTAATATCTCAATTGCGAATATTGGGAAAGGGTCAAGAACCTTTCGAGAACAAAGCTGGGAAATGACAAGCGATTTATTCGTTATTGATCTTTATTCATTTATAATAAAGATAAGATTAATTTTATATTAAAGATAATTAAAAAAGATTATTTAACAACAAGAGGAGATAGAACGGAAATGATATTATATACCGATATTAACAAGGTTAATTAGGATATTAACAAGATTTTTAATAAGGAACCGACGGAGCCATCCTTCACCGATTTCGATAGCCTTTGGATATATTGTAGAGTATAAAAAAATATTAGACCCATATTTTTTTTACCAGCGTATCTTAAGATTTAGAGGATGAAACATTCCCTCAAAAAATATGGATTTTATCATTTTTATCAAATATCTTCAAAACTATGCGATATATAAAAAAATATTCAATACAAAAGTTTTATAGTATTTTGTGCTCTTTATAATGATGTACTTTTTTTAATATTAAATTTTTTAACTTTCCTGTACCCCCACTCATTAATTTTGTAAAATTAAAAAATTTTATACAAACAAAAATCAAAATAACTTGATCAAGATAGTATCACTTGGCTTTTGCTTTTTAATTTGATAGAATTTAACTTGGCACCAGTTGATGATATTAAATCTTTTATACAAATGATACGTATAATTAAAGTTAAGTAAACATCGGAAAATACAGATGACAATCGCCTTGACATTACCGACTTAGGTAATTATATTTTTAATTCTCCCTTTAAAACCTATTATATAAAATTATTTTACAAAGAAAAAGGTTACTAAGAACCAATTTTGGTATTTGGCTTCTCCAAATTTCGTACAAACACATGAAAGTCTATTTCTTGAAATCAAGTATAAGATAAATTGTTTATGAAGACGTTCATTACTACAAAATGCATGAAATCAGTATAAACTTATTTTTTTAAAAAGGGTTTAAAAAGACGCTAAGCATACATGCTTCCCGAATAAAATCTAAATATCCAACCCAATTAATAATAGTTTTAATTTTTCTTCAAAGATCTTCTTATTGAAGGTTTTCTTATTCCAACTCAAGTAATGGCAATTGTAACTGTTCTCTATCACAATTTATTATTCTTCAAAAAAAATTAATGTATCAAATGAAAAATTAAAACCCAGATGCTACAACCTTAACTTATCAAGTTAAATTCTATCATTTCTATAAAAGATTTGACATCAAGAATTGGCGCCAAGTTAAATCCCATACCAAATTAAGTAAAGAGTCACAATCCGTAATTATGTTACCTTATCCATTTAAGTATTATCATAAAAAGTTAAAGAAGTAAACACTTGGCGTTGCTAGATCAAATAATAAAAACTATAAAAGCAATTAAAAAATTATAATAGCAGTTAAAAAAATAAATGAAAGAGAATTACAATTTTAATATAATAATGAACCAATTATTTATCGGTCATAGAATTGACTAATCGCGTTTGCTGTTTAGTAGAATTATTTTCATTCAAAAATTATTACATAAATATCATTATATCATAAAATTTATTAAACCTAATGATATGTATCATTTATAGAAAAAATTTGATATCAACAACTGTCGCCAAATTAAATTCAATTAACTTTTTATTCCAACTTCTTAAAGAAAAAGTAAAAAAAAAATGAAAGTGTTTTTATAAATTTTATATAATTAAATGATATGTATTAAAAAAAAAACCTATTTTGTATATGATTTCCAAAAAGAAAGTAATAGTAACTTTATACAAACTTATCTTTTTTAAAAAAAAAATAAAAAAAGCACTAATAGTGCGTGCTTTTTGTAAAGAATCTTTTGGAGAAGAAAGAACCGGTTTCACCAACGCCAATTACTTAATTGGCCGTGAAACTGACTAATCGTATTTGCTATTTAATAGAATTGATCACTTATGGTTAACAGTTAATCATCGATTCGGTTTAATCGAGTTGGTGCAACTGGTCCTCTGTAAGTATATAATATAATATAATTTGCTGTTTAGTAGAATCACAAATTTAGCTAAATCTAATATATCTCTGATACTTATCATTTGTAAAAAATGAGTATGATTCATATAAAAGATTTGATATTAACAATTGGCGCCAAGTTAAATTCTACTATCAAAATAAAAAGTATACGTATATTAACTAAATCTAATGATATGTGTTATTTATATAAAAAATAAGTATGATTCATATAAAAGATTTAATAACAACAATTGGCGCCAAGTTAAAATCTACTATCAAAATAAAAAGTGGAATCCAAGTGATACTATCTTTATTATATTTTTATATAATGAAAGTATACGTATAAATCTAAGTATACGTATATCTTAAAGGATCTTTCTATTTCAATCCAAATGATTTAAATTCCTCTTAAATAAAATTATTTAATGCTTCTTATTTTTTCTTGTTTTTCGAAATATTCATATTTTTTAATATGATTCTAATTTTTCTTATTAATGTGATTCTTATTTATGTTATTTTTCTAAATATTGCATTTTCTAAGTATTTACATTCTTATTTTCCTTATTTTTCTAAATATTACATTCATGTTTTACTATTATATTATTATATTGTCTAACAGCGCCAAGTGTTTTTACATAAAAAATTTTTCTATTTAAATTAAATTTTTTCATTTTATATGGTTTAATTCTTTAATTTTTTGTGGTAACACTCAAATTGAGCAAGGTAACGCAATAATGTGATAATATTATGTATAATGTTTTAAAGAAAAATTAAATAACCACTACTTAAATTGGAAAAGAAAATGTCTTTGAATGAATTGTGATATAATAATTTCATTTAAGAGAAATTACCAGCGTGTTTCATTATTACCGACTTTACCGATCCTGTTGTTTTGAAAAAACCGACCGAGACACTATAGTAGTAGACAGATCGTACACTCACTGATCATATATATCACTAGCGCTCCTTGCGTAAAGAATGTCAGAAGGACACCGAAGGAATATATAGAATGCGATTGACGATAATGACGACATATCTTAATCTGAAAAGCAGTTCGGAACTTTGCGTGATATCTCCGCTTGTAAGGCACGTAGAGAAAAAATAAAAGCACGTATAATATGATCGAAGTATAAGCTATCGATTAAGTGTCTTAAAGATTCGATCGGGATAATTTCGTATAATTTCGTTTCAATCCAATCTCTTTTTATTAAGTTATAAACAAATAAAGATCAAGGTTAAATAAACCGCTTTGGCATTATCATTTTCTAGCTTAGTTAAATACCAGTATATAATTTCATTTTCGTTCAATCTCCTTTTAAATATTATTAATATATCTCCTGTTAAATATTATTATAAATGAATAGAGATTGATAACGAATATATCGCTTGTTATTTCCTAGCTTTATTTTCGAAAAGTTCTTGATCCTTTCCCAATTTTTGCAATCGAGATATTAAATTTTAAAGTGCCAAATATCCGTCATAACTTAGCGCGCGAGGAGTGGGAACTGCTTGACAAACACCTCGCACCACACCGCGAGCTAAACGTCGTAACTTGTGCAGACATCCGATTAGCGCCTCTAGTGCCATCTAGCGCCAGACTGTAGTGCTGCAACCGTACATTCTGCTGGTCGACGATAATAATGACGATGTTTCTTAAAATGATGATAAAATTCAGAAATTCGAGTCGCAATATCTCCGCTCGTAGGATACGTAAAAAAATAAAATCACTTTCATTATACAACCCGAGCGATAACTATCGATTGAGCGTATATAGAACTTCATCAATTCAACCGTTACTGATTGTGAGATCATGTCTCCAGATCTGTCGCAACTCGTCGACTTACATAAAAGAGCACAGCAGTATCTCGCGACATGGCGCTTCGCTTGCTCAGCTCAGATACTACCACGTCTCCGGATATGTGAAGTCAATTTAAATCTATCAAAATCTAACCAAATTTGAATTTAATTTAATAATAATTAGTTCATAAATCTCTTGAGTATGAGTTTTCCAGCAAATGTTCAAAGCTTATTACAATTAGGAGAAACTTTTGCCTTTCTTCTCACAATGTTGAATCTATTACATTAAAATTTATCAAACATATAAAAAATAATTTAACAAGATTAAAAATCAATAACTCGAATGAATTCAGAAATAGATTTTTCCCATATTTATAAAATATTAAAAATGTCACAGAAAATAGATCGGATGATTTGATCTTAAACTCCTTTGATGCTAAACAATTTATCGAAGAAGATTCACAAATATTGTTGATGCAGATAAGGGAAATGTAGTCGTTGCTATGAATAAAATTGACTATATTGATAAAATGGAAGTTTTATTATCTGATATACTGTTATAACACGTAATCCGATTAACAAAATTTTGAATGATTTATAATCTTTGTTAAAAACTTGGAAGAGGCATGAATTCGTGACTGATCATACATATAATTTTCTCAACAAATGCTACATTACCGAGGGCATATGAGTTGCCAAAAATCCATAAGACAAGCAATCCATTACGTACGTATCATAGTTTCATCCATAGGAAGCCCCTTATACAATTTAGCTGTTTTTCTGCATTTTGGATTCATATATTGAGAAACCGATGGGATACGTCAAAAATAA